AGATAATGTTTGATATTTCTAGACATGTTGAAAACATTCAAGAGAAGGTTGGTTCTTAAGCTTCAAGTGTTGTTACTCCTGGATTGCATGAAGTGGTTGAAAGTCTAAAGGTGAAAATGAAGTCTTATATTGAAGCTATCAAGTCTGCTCATATCTTTTTTTGTCGAGAACAAGAGATTGAAAAGACAAATCAATTTACTCGTAGAAAAAATGTGAGGATTTTTGATCTATCTGAATTTGAGAAGGAAGAGTGTTGTCACCAAGTTTTTGGCTAAAACACTTGATGCATCCGGATTTAGCTTGAGCTTTTTGCATTGGAAACATTGGAACTCAACCTCGTGCCATTACAGTTAAGTTTGTTGATCAAACGCATCGTGATACGGCTTTAGCAAACAAAGTTGTTTTCAAAGTATCTAAAATTTGGTTAGATCTTGATCTTACATCTCTACAAGTAGAAGCAAGAAGAAAGTAGCTTACAAAAGTCTAAGAAGCTCAGGATACAAGATTTTTTGCTTACTTCCATGATGAACAAGCAATTGTTACTCAACGGAAAAGACAATCATCAACCTAGTAATTCATGAGCTTGAGGGTGTTAATGTGAAATATAAGAGGTCTTTCTACAACAAAGTATGTAAGTGCTGATACAATTTAGAAGATGGTGAACATCATCAACATTGTGGAGACAAAAAAACATGAGAGCAATGTTATTGGAAAAATATAAGTGATTATTTTGGTCCTTTAATGGGGCCAAAATTTGCAGAGGTTGCGCCTCGTATCTTCCCACGTGTTCTCGTCGAGCCTTCTCCCTATCTTGGGATCAACTTGAAATCATAGAAGTCAACGAGCACGAAGAGCCTATGAGGGTATTGCTATTTTCATTAGGTCTCAATTTCTACCTTTGATATATCTAGAAGCTCAAGATATTTAAGGTCAATATCATTGGCTTTGTCTTGGATGGACTGGAGTATCTTATATGCAATCGGAGTCAATCATTCCATGGAATTAAGAATTTCTCAATTATCAGAGCCTATGAGTGTATTGCTATTTTCATCAGGTCTTAATTTCTACCTCTGATATATCAGAAGCTCAGGATATTTAAGTTCAATATCATTGGCTTCGTCTTGGATGGACTAGAGAATCGTATATGCAATCGTAGTGAACTATTCCATGGAATTAAGAATTTCTCAATTATCAGAGCAAAGGTGAAGTTTTTTTTGTTGGAGATTTCAATGCACGAATACGTTGTGCACAATTTATCCAAGTTGGTGATATTTTGATTTTTCTCTCCTTTGAAGAACTTGAAGATAATATTTGGTATAGAAACTCTTCTGATACTTCTACAAATCCTTTGACAAAACACTTTTAACTTTTGGAGCCACATGTAATTTGAAAGTTCTCAACGATATTTCTCTCTTTCCCAACTTCATTTTCAATACGTATTTTTTCTTTTACACGTGTTAGCACTATTGATTATCTTATATCCTCGGCCACTAGTAGCTCTCTTATTTCAAAATTTGATAATCCAGAACCTCAGCCAGAGTCAAATCATGCAACTGTCTTATTTACTCTCTTGTTGTCAAAAACTATACCTCTTTCTTCATGCCATTTTGTTTTAACTTCCCCTAAGTTTTGTTTAGATCCTAGTATAAAAGATTTTTACATGCTACATTTTCAAAACCTTTTGATCCACACTTAATGGAGCTTTGATCCACATACAGCGAGTGGATAACTAAGACAGTTCTTCAAAAACACAACTTTTAAGTTCTTTTTGCAGCACAAGGATCGAAGAGCTAGGAGTCTTCCTTGCCATGGATGGTTTTACTTTGATTATAAGCAAGCGAGTATGAGATCAATTGACAAGACTTTAGATTTCCAAAGTCAACTTATTTTAACAAGGCTTTACAAGGACTTAATGAAGTCTAAGAAATGAGCTTTTATGAGGACAAAGCAAGAATACTTGACAAAGAAGTTGATAGAGAATCCCAAATCTTTGTGGAGACGATTAGCAGTACGGTCTTCTAAACCTACTATTGATTCCAAGAGTTTAATTGCCTTTGCTGAAAAGCTTTATTTATTTCCCGACGCTATATCAATGCCTTGTTGTGAAGGAATATTTGGCTTATTTTCTTAATCAGAGGTAATGATTCAACTCAAAATATTAGCAAATGATAAATCAAAGGATCTGGATGATCTCACTATTTAACTTTTTAAGTGGGAAGAAGATGTTATTGGATCAATACTCACTAGAGCGTTAGAAAATGCTGCCATGTATGCTTTTACTTCAACTTGGTCTTCACAGAAGAATGTTACTATTCATAAGTTAGAAAGTAAGTACTTGGTGACAAACCATAACGTTATCATAATGAATAGTGTTTTTGCCAAGTTGTTTGGCAAATGGGAGGAGTCAAAGTTGAGCACATGGATTCAATCTCATCAAAAGAGAGTGTGGTTTCAAACAAGTTTTCCCCTACGTACAACGTTATTGACCTTATATTAGACTTGCGTGTTTTATGGGAGAAGTCTAAGGGCTATGCAAAAGCTTTGTTTTGAGCCTTCATTTATTTTAAAAAAGGTTTTGACACTGTATCTCGTGAGCTCTTATGAGAAAGGTTGCAAGTCATTGGAATATCATAAAATCTTCTAGAAAAGTGGCCACGTTATATCAATCTGTTCGGACCAAGATCAACATTTTTTAAACTGAAAAGGTTTTGAGTACCATTGGAGTGATTGAAGGTTGTACTCTCTCTTCTACTCTATTTGGAGTTTTTATATATGATAGCGAAAAGTGGTTGTAGGCTTGTGATAGTGAAGGTGTCAAGTTTGGAAACTTTGTTATCAAAGCTTCTTGTATGCAGATGATATCAAAATACTAGCACGTGATGCAATTAGTTTACAGAAACACCTATACACTTTGGCTAGTTTTTGTACTCAGAACTCCATGGAGTTAAATATAGAGAAGTCTAAAGTCATGATAATGGACACTAGATCCAAGTTCTCATTCTCTTGCAAGGATTTACAATTAGAAGATGTGAACAGTTATAAATATCTAGGTATTGATTTTTCTAATGTTTATCGTTGTGCACTTTGCGTGCAAAAGAGAGTAGAAGTTGATAACAAAGTTTTATATTCATTTTTAAATCGCTCTAGAAGGTATCATCTAGTGTAAGCTTGGAATTGAGTAAAGATGTTGAACTAATATTGATAGGATTGAACACGTTTGTACATTATGTAGCGATGGGTACATTGAGGATGAAGAGTATATATTTATTACTTGTTCTAGATACGAAAACATTAGACTTTTGATTTAGGTTGTTATATTAGGGATATTGGGCTTGGTCATAATATATATATGTGGAGATATATATAGGAAAAAATTTTGTATTACAGATAGTTATTTTTTATTTAGATTATTATATTAAGTACAATAGGCTTGATCATATGGCCGAGAGGTCCTTCTTACATAAATACTTATTTGGTTTTACGGGTCCTCTAGCCGGCTTCACGATTTCCGCCCTGAAGGCCTGCCCGCCTTGGGCTTTCGGCGGAGGGCTTTGGCCTTCGGATTCGGCCTTGGGCAGCAGGCCTGCTGCTTGTGGGCCTAGCCGGCCTAAGGCATATAGCCAGCCGAAGGCTGCCCTTGAATGACTGGGGGTTTACAAGCCCTCCAGCATTTGAAGCACAGGAGCTCGCCGGAAGTTTCTATTTTCATTTGAAACAAAAGTCAAAAAGAGCCAAGCTATCCCGGCCCGCCATAAAATTGCTTTCAATAGATATAGTACCCTTGACACTTGTTCCAAGGACACTAGACTCGGGTACGCCCTTTTTTCTATAGTCTCGTGCTCTTTGCTCCAACGGGTTCGGCCCGGGGGCTCGACCCGAACCCTTCAGGTCCTTTTTTCGTAAAGCCGTTTCCTGTCTGAAAGTGTTTACGCACGTTACCCATAGGCACGTAGTGCGTTCGGGTATCACGCGCGGTAAAGCCATTTCCGCCCTTCGGCGCTTCTTTCGTAAAGGCAAATTACTTTAATTACTTTTGATTTAGATTGTTACATTAAGTACATTAAGCTTCATCATAAAACATATATATATCTATAGAATTTGTATTTTTTATTACAGTTAGTCACTTTGGATTTAGATTATTGTATTAAGGACATTAAGTTTGATCATAATATATATATATAGAAATTATTTATTTATTATTATATTTAATTATTTTTTATTTACATTTTTATATTAAAAAATTAGACTTAATCATAATATATATAGAAATTTTTTATTACAATTATTTATTTTTGAATTAGATTGTTACATTAAGTACATTATGCTTGGTCATAATATATATATATTTCTTTATTATAATTGATTATTTTTGATTTAATTTTTTATATTTGAGACATTATTAATTATCATTCTAATGCTATTGGCACTAGTTAACTATCTACCTCCGGGGTTCTAGAGCTCTTGGCACTAGCCAGTGATTGAACTTTGGGAATTTTTTCCATTGTTTGTGATTTTCAACCTTTGTCTATTATTTGTTAATTTTCTTTTCATATGACTGGCTACTTAGTCCACATAAAATTGGCCTTATGAAAACAACACCAAAAGGTCGGCATACTGAATCCTGCCGCAGTCTTAAAGGCGTCGTGTGCAGAGTGGTAGAACAAAACCAACGCATCTGTTTTGCATGTACGATCGATCAGGCGGAAGGGATCAGGTAACGCTTTAGATGGCACAAAAAAAAGTTCAAAGTACGAAAGGAACCATGGAGTAGGTGGCTATAACATTGATAATATTTCTTTGCCTCCCCAGTGCTGTTCAGTTGAGCTGTCAGACATATCCTCGACAACCAAGCAGAACGCACAAGAGGATAGAATACTTAAAAGAACAAGCACTCAGACTTGAATGACGTTTGCTTAGCCTGCTTTAGAGCGTGTCTCTACATGATAAATTAGAGCTAGCGAAAATCAGTTGAATCATAAAATTCATCAAGCACACAAAGTGATAACGTAGTAAAGTAGTAAATTCGCTTCGAGCTTTCGTTGCTCTGCAAAATCGCTCAACAAAACGCTGATAATTACAATACGAAATGTAAAACATGTAGAGACATTCCTCTAATTGTCAAGTATGATCCACTTGCAATACGTTTATTAGTTTGCCTCTAGCAAATCCTTTGGATGTCCTTGTAGACATCTATCGATCTCTTCGCGCGTTTGAGAGCGCAACCCTTTTTATTGAGGGAGAAAAATGAATTGGTCCTAAGTAATTTACAGTTGTAAGTTAATTGCCTAATCACAGAATGCTACTATTTTCAAGCCGAGCCTCTTTTTGAGACTGCCATTTCCTTCGAGGCCGTAATTTCCTGATTGACTTTTTGTCGTTCTCCCGGTTGTAGATCGTAATATCGTTTCCCGGATTTGCTCTCCCACTACAAGACGACATGACCAAACACGTCAGTAAACGGCTTGAACCACTATGCTACGAAACAGGGAGAGAGACCATGAAACCTGCACCGACAGCTTTGAAGTAGCAGTGTTGCCTCGACCGACAAAACATCACTTATAAATGTGCAACAAGAGTATCTGATTCGGGGAACGATATTAGGGTGATTACCTCTCGGATGACCTTCACAGGATGTAGTCTCGGTTCATACTTAGGTACTAGCCGACTTTTACGATCATTCTGCAGTAAGATCAAACGCAAACTTTCATTTAATTAGAGCGGTAGCGAAGGAAAAGTTCGAACGAAAAAAGGGGTAGATGCAAAAAAACATGCTGCAAACAGAAAAATGGATGGGTTCAGCACAAAAGAATACCTCGGTGGAGTAGCCGCTTGGTTCGTCCGGAGCGGATGATACTGACGAGCTTTTCCCTGCTCTGGGGAGAACAGCTGCAGTGTTGCAATCTTTTTCTTTACTGGGCACTTCTTTGCCTGGCGCCTGTGCATACTTATCAGACTTTTGTTTGGTGATTGTGGGCACTGAGGAAGTGCTCCCTCGATGAACTGCTAAGTTACTTACTTTCCTATCCTGCATGGTGTAATCGGCTATCCGTTAGTCATGAGGGTCACTCGCAAGTTTACTGGAGAAATCTCATCCTAGTTCTTGCAAAAAAAAGTGAGTCCAGGAGACAGAAATCGCGGTAAAACAAAGTACATGAGAACTTACTAATGCTTCCGAGTTCTTCCCAGAAGTTGTTTCAGTATCGCGCACTGATGATGGTAAACTCCGGCTTCGGCTGCCAACGCCTGTTTTATTCCCGTGAGCAGCCGACGTGGTCCGAGCTTGAGGGCTGGTTCTGGTGAAATTCAAAGGTTGTGAGACAGTCGAATTCCCCGAAGCCTGCGGTCTGGTCGAAGTTGGTGTGCTTGTCCTGAGGAGAGGATTTGGCACTTTCTTCTTCCGATCGGTGTCCAGCGAGGTTGTAAGAGATTTCTCTGACAGCTCTAAGCTCAGGTTTTCCTTATTGCCTTTCTTAGGCAACGAAGTTCGACCGAGCGTATCTTTATTTACGGATGGCTTCTTGGCTTTAGAAAGCGCATCGGATTTAGATTTTTGTTGTTGAGCTAGACCACTCTTAGCAGGCGTTGAAGACGCTCTGTCCCTTGTTTCCATACATCCCAGTGACTTGGATTTGCTGAGCTTCCCGCCGGTCGAAGGAGCTACAGCGGATGCTTTTGAGGTCTTCGCGACCTGAACCGTGGAACTGGCTTCAGATCGAGGGGAAATCTCGTCTACCAAAACCTGCCCTCCTGAACATTGGGTCTCCTCTCTCGCAGAATCAACAACAATCTCGACTCTGGATTGCTCCTTGGTGTTATCGTCACTTTGAACAGCCAAGTTCCTGCTTTCCGAGTCCTCCACAGGGGAGGCCCCGATAACAGTCGCCTCTTCTTCGAAGGTCACAGTATCAGGGCGAGCTCCAGAGGCTCCAGTACTTTCTAGATCCCCCGAGGCTGCACTAGAATTCTGACACGTGCTATCACTCCTCTCACTCTTCTGGCTCCCGCCGTTGGCCTCTGCCTCCTTCCGCTGCTTCACGCGTAGTGCAGATCCCCAACTCCTGCGAAGCTTTTCGAGGATAGGGTGGGTTGCTTGCGACCCGTATAGCTTATCTGACAAAACTACCTCCTGGTTGAGGACCGAATTGCTGTAGCCGTTCTTCTTAGAGCTCGGAGGCCCCGACCCATCGTGCTTCACCCGCAGAGGAGGTCCCAGGCTCTTTCTCTTGAGCCTCGGAGTCGAGGATGGGGTCGATGTCGGAGTCGATGACTGTTGTGTTAAGTCCGGATAAGATTTCCCGTTCTGTTGTGCGTCTCCGTTCGGCAAATCGCGGTCTAACACTTTCACAGACTTGGGCCTCTTCACCTCAAGCTCTAACCTTTCGGTCAAATCTTGCAGTGGCTCTTTTACGTCAAGCGCAGCAGCACGGTTAGCTGACGCGCAAGTCGCGTCACACTCTTTGGTTGCCGCCTCTTGTGGTTGTATACTTGTACAGAAACTCTCAGAGTTTAAATTCCTGGAAAGTTGACTCTTTGTCCCAAAAGGTAGTGAAGCGCCTCTCACTGGAGCTCCTCCTTCTGCCGATGAGTTGGATGGCGTCGGTGACGGCTCCGTCGATGAGCAGGTCATATCACTCGAGGACATTACACTGGCATTACGATAGGTTCCATTCAGAGATTCAAGTGTCGGTTTTGGCGAGTCATAGATGCTCAAAGACTGGTCACTCAGCGACGGATCACTCCCTCCGCTCACGCGATCTGTTCCACTCACCGAAGGATCGCTCCCTCGGCTCGAACGCCCGTTGCCACCCACGGATGGATCACTGCTGCCGCGACTAGCCCGACCCGTCCTTGCGAAGGCTGGGGGCGGTCTGAGGCCATTAACAGATGGATCCGCGAGTTTTCCTTGAAGCATTTTCTTCCGAGGAGTGGTGGCTGGTTCGTACACGGCCAACCTGTCAAACACGTCCGCAGCGCGGATGAGACAAAGTCGGAGGATCTATAGATTGCGGATTTGTGCAGCAGAATTACGACATTATGTGTTTGTCTACTCGATCTGCATTTACATGAGTCGATTGAATCGTGAAGAACATATGCTGATAGAGATTGCAAGCAATTCCCTACGTCACCAATTTCTGAAGCGGGGCTCAAGGGAAGGATAGCGCTGGACATTACATGTAGTACATTCGAGGCTTCAATTCCCGGAAGGGATTTCAGACATGTACCTGCCATCGGATCCAGGTACAGCAACTCGACCTCGTGGGGCAGTGCCCTTTACGTGGACGCGTTTTCCGGGAGTCCTAGGCCATGCCTGAGTGGCCCCCAACCTCGGACGGCTGGACAATCGGTCCTCCTTCAATCCTGCAATTGAGATACGCTTCATCCCGCCCAGACATGCTTTCACGGAAGGTTTTGCCTTCATTACTCCGGCGCTCTTTTTCTTCGTCGTCGGCGGGCGAACTTTCTCCCTCAATGACGTGCTTTGGATTGCGAGGGCCGTAGTCCCCACTCGCGCTAGGGAGGTTTCGTGATGCCTGCAAGACATAACTCTAAAAGTAATGTCAGCCTCTAGAGAGCAGTCGAGAGAAAGGGGAATGCACGAATGAACAGATTTTGTTCTCGTGTTGGAACACGAACACAACGAGACAGATCAGACGATTGAATCAAAGTCCACAACTTCAACAGCACTTGCACTGGGTAGGTGGCAAGAAGGGGTCGCGGGGCAGTAAGACTTACGCGTGACTGCGATAGAACCATGGGTCGTCTCTGCTAAGAAACAAGAGATCACAGAAGTCGATAAGTCCCTGCATGACTGCAACCAGTACTGCTATGAACTACCACTGCCACTGAGGTCGACAGCTGCAAACATTGAACGAAACGATTTCTTGGAAGGAGAAGGGGGGCTGCCTATGCTCACCCTAGAGTACCCATCAAAGCTGCTTCCTTTGCCAGGTCCACCCATTGCGGCGCATCAACTTGATCCTGATCGTACGCAACAGAAACGGAGAAATCTCTGAGCCATCATTCACGAAGCACTTTGAACAACTCACATCCGTACACATCGGAGGATAGACTTTCACTTTTCAAATATAAGAAAGAGAGTCTGACGAGGGGCAGCACGTTCCCACTGACAGGCTTTGCAGCATTAGAATTCGACAATTGCAGACAGAAGGATCACATGTTTATAAAAAATGCAGCACCGGTCTAATCCAATTATGCCAGCGCGCTCGAGGCACTTACGTCACAGCGCAGCGGAGAAACAGACTTTTGTTAGCTAGCGGCCGAAGGAACGAGGAGGCGAGAAAGCAAAACATGCCCAAAACGAGAAAGGACGCGGAAAAGTGCAGCCGTGGTTACCAGAAACGACCAGTGGTCGGGCGGAGACGGAGCGGGTTGTTGTGGCGTCGGCATCATATTCAACAGCAAATTGATTACATTTGCGCGCTTCATTCCCTCTTCTGGATCTACCAATCCAGAGAGTCTATATCGATTAACTAAACTGCAATCCAACACACAAGCTTCTGATCTACGCAAACAATAGAAGACACAACGTCTGGTGAGGTCCTCCTTCAGATTCGAGCCAATTGTCCTTATAACCCTTCTACTCTGCAAACCAAATCCAACTCCTATTTTCCTCCTTCCCGTACCGAACGTTATCCCCAGTACGCAATCAGCTTCGGCCTTCCACTTCATAAATCTCCTCTTCCAATCCAGAGACCAAACAAATTCTACTCGACACCCTCGCTCTCTACAACTCTCTCTCTCTCTCTCTCTCTCTCTCTCTCTCTCTCTCTCTCTCTCTCTCTCTCTCTCTCTCTCTAGCACCAGAAGATAAAAAAAATGGAAAAAATTTCCGCTGTCCTGGCGAATTGCCTTCCCGCTCCGCGAGCCTCCTCCTACGAACGACTCCCTACCTCCTTGCGACGTCTCATCTCATCGCGCAGCACAGCAGAACACTCTCATCCCTGGGGCCTTCCCGTCTCTTCATCATCACCATCAGCAGCAGCATCGTCGTCGGCGTCGTCGCAATTTCGTCAAAGATCCACTTCCTCGGACCATCTCGATTGCGGAAATGCGATCTTCGCCCTCCTCACGTCTTACGCTGGCCATCTCGACGCCCCGCTCGCGCTCCAGCTCCATCTCCAGCTCCGGCTCTCCTCGGCCGCCGCCTCTGCTCCAGGCCCGCACGCGCTCTCCACCTCCACCTCCTCCTCTCCTCTCCTCTATTCCTCTATTCCCCTCCTCCAGCGTCACCCTCAACGCCCGCGCCGCGCTTCGCCTTCGCTGCTTTCTGGGCGTTCGAAATTCGCCCGTTTCTTTACGAGTTCCCGTCCACTACCCGAATTTCGAATTTGCCCGACGCTTTGCGGCACTGCGTACTGTGCGTTTCGCGTATGCGGCTCCGTCCTTGCGTTTTCTTTCCTTTCTCGGCGGTCGAGTCGAGTTTGCTGCCGGGCCGTGTGCCCTCGCGGCGCCACTTGGCATCTTTTCTAGGCCCTCGTCCCGTGGCGGGACCCGCTGGGCGTGACCTCTTTGAATCGTCTTGCCATCTTGCCTCCGCTTACGAAAGCGCTCTTGTACAGAGCTGCGGGTCGCGCTAAGAGAACCTCACTCTCCCGTCACCCCAGAGTCCTAGACTCCCTGGGCAGGGTTTGAAAATCGCGAATATGCCCCGACCTGCCTCTACGGTGTCCGTTGCTTCCGTAGGTCCCCCTGCTGGTTCATACCGGTCCTCGGAGCACGTCGTTGGTTTCCGATTCATGCCTTCTGACTTTCCAACATGTGTTTGTTGTCCATACGGTTGTGGGCGAATTTATTATTGTTTAGAAGATTTTCGGCCCCCTGTGTGGGGTTTGGGGCTCTCCTAGCCATCGGATATTATCATATTTCCTGATATACAAATCATTAAAAGGACATACGAATTACGAGCTGTGTATTACATCATCATGTCATGTACGAACATCTTAACATTTGGATATAGATTCATCGTAGTCACACCTTGTAGAATAACGACTGAGTTATAAAGTAAAAAGTGATTTGAATGCGAAAATTCCAGAAGTGTATTATATTGCTACTCACCAATGTACTTGAACATGAGTTTAATTTCCACATGGTATGAATTGCACCATAAAGTGGTACATGTAGAACAATGGGTACATACTATTTCAAATGTGTTTAACAGAATGTGTAAAAAATAGTGATATTCTCTATCACCTACTATCAAAAGTTTTGTTCATTTTTTTTTGAAATCACACTGGACATAAAACTGATAAAATTTCAAGTACATCGGAAAAATAATAATATCTGCGCAGAAAATATATATTTAAAGACCTTAAATATAATCAATATATTACACAAAAATTACATAAGCAACCTCATATATAAAGTGCTTGAACTTCCTATTGTACCGTATGTATTTGAACATGAATATGTGTGTCGTATGTATGGGCAGTACATCTATGTATATATAGTTAGAGAACACGTGCATTCTGGCTCTCCAAAGACGCTCGCCGTCTGTTCTCCGCGAATAGGCTATATTTTTCTCTATACTTAGCTAGAGTATTCAATTTATGTATCCTCAATGAAGGAATTTTGTTTCATGAGTTTCATTGAGTATGGCGTTCATGCAACCCATTGGGTCCTGGTGAGTAGATTATGTATGCTTGTAATCATGGCGCCATGACAGCCAACAACTAAGGTCGTAAGATTGCCTAATCCAGGAAATCAGACCACAATTGAAGACGTCATTTGGCATGAATGTGATGAGGATGTGTCCAACATTTTCACTCCCCTAAAATAAGGAAAATCATGTACATCATGTTTTTTAATGATGTCACCACTGGTTCCTTCATGTCCGGGTCAAACTTACACTCCTCCTTTTCCGTGTTCACATAAGCGCTGGATTCTCGAATGTCTATGCATGAAGCCTGGATATTTGAAAATTTGAATGGAATAATATAAACTCGGAACTGTTGAGGTTACGACTTGATTCTTTTCCCAAAATGTGGGAAAATTTGCAGAAGATATAAAGGTGGACTCCATTTTGTAACATAATAAACATAAGAGAGTATTCTCTCTGTATCTTTTCATTAAGTATTGAAGTTGATGCACCGCGCAATAGAAGTGTTTTGACATTACAGTATGGTCTTCTTTTGTTGCAAGAAATGCTAATCTGGTTGAGCTTCTCCACTTGAACGAGATTGAGAACAACTAAATAAGTGAGACTAAAAAAACTAGGAAAGGAGTATTCAACACATATTGTTTAATTTCAGATAGAAACTTATTTCAATTGAGACAAATGATTGATATTTAGAATATTACAATATACTTAGAAATGATTGATTTATTCAGTGGTGATTTAATAATTGTTCATTTTCATTTTCAGTCATTCATAAATAAAAACATAACCTGAACCCGAATGGTTTAACAAAATCAACTAATATATTACACCTGAAGTTAAAATCCACTTTTTTCAAAAGATATGAAAACTTAGAGTGAAGCAAAGCAAGAAAGAAAGATCAGAACTATTTAATGATTATATATGATCTCTTGAGCTTTGTATTCTACAATAATTTAGCTTATAAATTACAAATTTTGGAAAAAAATTGTGAAAGAACATATAATAATAATATTTTATTATTATATAAAATATCATATTAGAATTTTCAGTAGTAAAATAAGTACCGAACTTCTTGTTTTGGGAAAAAAATTGTACAACAAATGATGCTGAGTATATTTTGCATGTCTCTGATATGAGCTTCCAAATGGAGTGTACTCATGGACAATCATTGAGCCCTTTCCCACGGGCGTCTGATAGTATTTGAAATGGAAACGGAGATACCAACCGCAGAGTGCGATTGTTGCGGATCGGAAATCGCCGGGAGGCACAGTCTGACACGGCGAACGTCCTCGCCTCTGACAACAGGATCGAACAACTCGGAGAACGTCGGCCCTCCGTCATCGCTACACCGGCCGACGTACTTCGTGGTCGCAGATGGTGGAGTTGCTCCATGGATGGCAGCGGCACAAGGAACATATGCAGGTCCCTCGTGCCCGCTGCGGGTGGGCCCCACCCTCCCACATGCCTTCGCTGGCTTCCTTACACCTCAGCAGATCTAGTGTGTATTGTGTGCATCCCCTAAGATCATGAACCGAAAGTAACACTCGAATTCTGTTCATCATTTCCCACTATCCGATAATTAGAGATTTTCTTGGAACGCAGGACTTCCCTGCTAGATTCTTGTGAAAAGTCACAGCGTTAGATTGGATTTAATATCTGGATGTTCTGGAGTGCATGAGTTTTCTTTTCTCTTTCATGATTCTAATCCAGGCCTCTAATTCTGGCGTTCTATTTAAGACGCCTAATTTAATCTGACCAATCCGCCAAAAATCATTAGGGAACTTCAGCGCAGTAATGCAAGGAGAAGTCGGGGAGGAGGGAGTTAGGGTAGGAATTACTGCTCCCAAAAAGCCCGTGAGTGCATACTCTTGAAGTTCCTGGATAATATAGGGTTCGCAATATGATTCTAAGTTTACAGTAAGTTGCGAATAGATCACCAAATTTTTGGTAGTTTGAACTGGAGAGCAACTTGTGCTCGAATGAGGAGAGGTAAAAACAATACAGCTTGCATAGATTTCATATTATTTTTTCATTTTCTTCTTTTCATATAATTTCTGTAGCATGTTTATTTCGATCATTATGAATCTTTTCTTACTTGCAACAGAAGGTCCCAAGTACAGTTTATATTTTTTCTTTGAATTTTTCACTTTTATAAAATTTCTATAGTATATTTTTTTTTTATCATTGTGAATCTTTACTTGGCGAGATTAGAACTGCCCAGGTACATTTCAATTCTTTCTTTCATTTTTTTTCTTTCATATCATTTCTATACCATGTTTGTTTTGATAAGTGCGTCTTCTCTTGGCTGGAATAGAAGGGTTTGGATACACTTCATATTCTTTCTTTCATATCAACTCTGTAGCATGTTTTTTTTTTTATCATTGTGACTCTTTTCTTGACTAGACCAAAAGTCACCCTGTAAATTTGATATCTTTATTTTATTTTTATTTTCTTTCATAGCATTTCTGTAGCATGTTTTTTTCATAGTTGTGTGTATTTTCTTGGTTGGAACACAAGTATCCAAGTACATTTTATATAAAAAAAATCATAAAATTTTTATATTTTTCATATAAAAATATTTTTCATATTTTTCATATTTTTTCTATTTTTTTGTCTTTCATATCAATTTCACAACAAGTTTGTTTTGATCATTAGTGAATATTTTCTTGGTTGGGACAGAAGATCCCAGTTGATAGCAAAGCATTTGCAAATCATCATGAGTCAAATAAAACCCTTTCTAAGCTTTCTAAGCTTTGAAAGTACCCAAAGCAACCACAAAAGTATAAACCCTGTTTAGTATCCAATTATACAAGGCCAGAATTGCAACAACCCTGCTATAAACCTTAGTTTTATTCCTATCGTTACTTCTTCTTGTCATTTGCAATTTCTCCAATTTATATTGGAGAATGTGTATATACCACAAATTCGTCAAACGATTCCCATGCACAAGAATTTTTGTAGGCTGCGGAGGTAGGGAGAAGAAGCCTAAGACATGCTAATCACGATTAGAACTAGATGTCAATTGTAATGAGCCCACAAAAAATGAGAAAGCCAGAAGACCAAGTAGCCGGCCCATTTAAAAACCATGTGAGACACTATGCATGGTCGAGATTGCATGACATGGACAGCATGATGGTCATGCGCATTCTGACCGGGATGATGCGGGCCCTACAGCATGCTGTGCCAGCCATGAGTAGTGAATGTTCTTCTACCAAAGTGCTGATTAAGGCAAGACGAACGATGAACCGAACCCATGTTGCTGAATAATCTCTGTTGTTGCCACTAGTTGGGCAAATGACCAATGGATGAGCGAGCATCTAATTCACTATGTTACTATATAAAGACCCTAGGACTGGTGAGGTTTATTAGATCATCAGACAGGGCCTTCGTGGGCCACGTGTTCGGCTTTTAATGGGTGGATGCAAAGGGCTTACCAAAACCCCAGTAAAACTTAACTACAGGAGTTAAGCTGAATTAGGTGGTTGGAATCTGCCTTGTTGTCGACTGAAGAATTTCGGAGCTTGCGACGTTGATTAATGTTCTTCATGTGACGAAGTTGTGAAGGAGAAGTTAAGAGAAATATTCCAAGCGAAAACAAATTCTATTATTGAATCTCGAGAGTTACTAATATCTTCCTAAGTAAGTATATCTGACGCGGACTTTTGTTTGTATGCGCATACGCCTCATGCCATAGTTTAATTTATTGACTTAATACTCTCATGAGATGAGATGTGCAAAATCGAAGGCCTCATTTTGCAAATTTTAAATTGCATACCCTAAAAAATTATCTTTTAGTTTTTACGAATTCTTGTGAAAATGAGGAGATCTCCAATGTGTGTTATATTTATGAGTGTAACAATTAAAACGGTGATTGTGTTTTTGTGGGTTTCAAGAGAATGAGATGATCAGAACGAACATCTTGCCTGATAGTTCAGTCACTGAAGTTCGCATCTTTGGACCTGCTTCTTTATTTACTTCTACAAGCCAGCTCAGGTTTTATCCTCCTGTTGTTCTTCATTTTGAAATAGGATTAAAGATTCTTTTACAGGAAATTCACCGTTACGGAGACTTTTATTGCTTGGTCTGTCATATTTTGGGCTAAATGCTATGTTTGCTCTTAGAGGAAAAGTACACTTGAAGCAATGTTTCCAGTTCGTGGCTGGATATTCACGATAGAATGAAATATCATCATGCAGGTGCACTTTTTGCACTGGGCAACTAAGTGGCTTGAGGGTATATTCAGATATTAACTGCTTTCAGTGTATGACTCTGAAAATTTCTTTCTTCTATTCACCTATGTCAAAAGATCTTAAAATTTTCACACTCTCCAGTTTGAGTTCCAATGCTCGAGCTGCACTGACATATACATCTATATATTGCAATTCGCTTGTTCTAAAAAAATACAAAATATCTTTGTAAAATATCGAGGATGATAAAGACATTTATAGAACAGGTTAACAAGTATAGAAATCACTGAATAGAAATTCATTGATTTGTATACTTGTTATAATGATACAATGTGGATCTCAGAAAAAAATATCTTCCTTAATCAAAAAAAATTCGAGCTTGTCAATAATCTTGCGTAGTGATGCTTATTGATCGTTAGAAAACAAGTTTTCAAGATACTAATAAACACAACGAGAGCAGATTTCCCTTGAAGATACTTCACACGAGAATATATCCTACTTGACCACACTGATATAAGTAATACACCGTAGTATATTACCAATAACAATCGAGCACGAAACGCAAAGTTACTTTGCTTTTACCCATATAGCTCTTTTGGACCGTTGGATAGCTGATATTATTTGGGATAAATGAAATAGACCGACATATAAACGTAACATATAATATCATAACATGATATATAAAAAAATATATGGTTTCACTGTGGGTTGAGGTGCTAAGCACCACTGGCGAATTTCCCAAGTACAATTTCGTTACTCTCGAGGGCCCATGCACATCCACGATATGTGTGCCCCAAAGTGAAAAGTCTTTTACACGTCGTTAAAATTGACTCCTATCCACAGATGTTTCCATCACATGCTATCCGCAAACTCGCTCGAGTGATGAGTTGTGATCAGCCATTAACGCGGTTAGTACTTTATGTGGGAGAGCGGTGTAAATTCTCAACGCATTGAGACCAGATGTCACTCGTAATGACCAGCCTAAAACGTTGTGGACAAGGAATAATGGAACCCGGAATAAGCTGTTCTGCAGATAGGAAATTCCATCATTCTTGTGGAACTGGCTCAGTGGAGAAGATTTCTCATGCACGAAGAACATGGTAGCAATGTTGATTCACGGCTCTCATTTGAATTTGGATGCTAAATTATAGTGACAAATATTGCCAAAGCGTGACACCATTGCACAGACGTAATATGATGACTCGGAATTGTACTTGCTAAAATCCGTGTGGCACACAGCAACAATCACATGATATCTCTAAGAACGAAACAATCAATCGTCTAATGTACAGTTGCGGTTAGCTTTCAAAATTTCTTCGACTTCTGTGCTTTCAGTATCGGATGCTGTCTAAGCCGCTTTAGACTTGACGCATCGCCGTTCATATCTCTGCAGTTCAACAAATGGCAGACGGCATTAATCGAGTGAAAACAACCTGCCGTATACGAAATACACTCAAAAGTGACCTACATGATTGTCGTGTTGAGATTTGGTTGTCTTGATTCTACATAACTGTTTTGATACCTTTCCAAATCCCATGACTAGGGTGAATGAAATTCAGGTGATGCCCCACATACCTTTGATATAAGTACACTGCAAGGTAAAATATTCCAAGTAATATGATCACGAAGAGACACAGAGCCATGTATAAAGATTTGTTCTTCCTTCTCTGCAAGCACAACGATTTTTGGAAGGTAAGGTATACAAGTGTTTCGAAGGTACAAGTTTCCTCTCATCATGCGGTAAAGCAACTTCAGGAAAACATTGATACTAGTAGAGAGAAAAGGAAAAGAAATCCATGCAAGGGCTTTCAGTACAAATATTACAACTTCCGATGTTTAGGGGAAAGCAAGAAAAGACTAATTCTGTCGGTGTAATACAGACTGAATCTTCAAATAGGAAGATTCAGTTCGCTATAGGTATTAACGTCCTGTCGTTACCCCAGAACCCCTCGGGAAGTGCTTTGCGCTTCCGTCGCAAGTGTGTGAATCGCAGAACTGACGTAGAAAGAATTCTGCAATCCAGATGTACAAAATTACTGTTGGTATGACTTTAAGAGCACCTAAATGTAATGGAAGAGCATCATACCAATAGACAAGTAGCAACCATAGCAAAACACGACAACTTATCACATACATCCGAAGTCATATGTTTCCTACATTATGCTATCAATAATAAGATTGTTTACTTGTATATACGTGAGATGGATATTGGGCCTGAATTTTGAATCATCAAACTGCACTGCTTATCTCGCTCTACGTGTATACACCAAGCAAGATGAAATACCGTTTAAGCGCAGAGCAGTAGCACCTTCTTTCGATGGAAAACATTCATTCGCCAGAGCCTGATATCAAACAACACACTTCTGAAGGTAAGTCGCAGTTCTGACATATCGGTTTTTTAGTTCTCTAGATAAGCGGAAGAATCTTCCAAATTCCAAGGCGATCACGATTGAAGATCAGCTTTGACCTTTCAGTAGCTATCGTCACACCATCTTTCTCACGTGCGCATGAGTTGCTTGAAATTTGGTAAAAAAGTTCAGGAGAAATACGACCTTCAAAAAAAGGTCCTAAACCGAAAACATAAGTAGGTTGTGGACACAAGACCTCACACAGATGCTTGTTCTTGATCACTGCTGCGCGATTGCACCTCTTTTTCGTCGTTGCCTTCGCAACACTATCCGCATGATCACAGTGTACAGCACCACAAATGTCTGCTAAGCAACGCTTTGAATTCTGAAAAACGTCAAGAGTAATAAAAAAGTCAGAGAGGGGAATACAGATGATCTCGTTCTTTCATCAACTACTGATGTTATTTCCTAAACTTTTCTTTGCAAATAAAAACCAAGCAAGGGAATCCGACTCCATTAGGTTGTCAAAAACAAGTGCTAACTTTTGACTCTCGGAGGAATCATTATCCAGACTTGACACATTCCACCGAGCCCCTTGAATTGACAGCCGAGGCCCGCTGTCAAGACGTTGCGGACATCATGAGAGTACTCCTATCCTAATCTACGCAAGGACAGTAAATGGCACAATATCTGATATCGCCAACTTGTTGAGCAAAGATTTAACAGTTTCACCTGTTTTGTGGAAAGGCCATTGATGTACTTACAAGATCAAGCATAGCGTAGTGACGATTGTCCATGTGCTTGTCCAGGTAGTCCTCCGATCGGAAAGTTTTCTTGCAGTACAAACATTGCCATTGTGATGGGCGTACATTGTCCTTTTGCAATTCTTGATCCTTGAACATGTTGTTCTCAGGATTCAATCGGCAAGCGCTGGACAGATTGTACTGCTCCTTCTCCAAGAAAGGTAACAAATACTGCAGAATCCTCCACACCACGAACATCATGAGCCGAAATTTGGTCAGTTTGTCCAATTATCGTACATAACTTGACCAGTGTGTCCTTCATCATGACCTACTTATGAAAAGTGATAGTTTCACATGGCTATGATGTATGAGGCTACTACGTTACAGTTGAAACTCCTGATGATGAATAGTGTTGATGTTATTGTGCATGAGGTTTTGAATACTCAAGTTACAACATACAACGCATAGGTTAAAAGTGCATGATATTTACCTCGTCAAGTATTTGGCTAGCTGTTCTGCTCCTTGCTCTTGAACAATGCACTTTACCATCTTGAGTCTCATTCTCGTCCTCGTGCCTGAGAAATGGCAGCCAGATGTACTTTTATGGATAGATGAGAAGTATAATTTGGGCAAGGTTTGATGATTATACGTTGATTATACAAAAGGCTACATTCATGCGGCTTGGAACCCAGACAGCATAGCATTATCGTCTACAATTGTGTGGTATCTGACCAGAGCGCAGATGATTCTGCGTACCCACGGACATGTATATGAGAGTAAAGATACACAATCGGGAAGTGGGCACTTTCTAGTTTGAACCTTGGACAAGAGGTGGTGACGACAATATCACAAAACATAACACATGGACATCTTTGCAATTACGAGGACTGTAGTTGGTGACATGATCGCACCTTGAATCATACACTGGTCGACGATCCTGCACATAGAATCACAAGCTATGTCAGCTTAACGCACATATATAGAAGTCACTGTCATTTTCTAAGAGTGCAGCAACATCCGTTAACCGAGACTTCACTCTCCAAAAACGATTGCAACATACTACATTGTGCAATTAAACGGTCGTTTCCTTCAAAGCTGCACTGATCGACCATCTCTATACAAACCAACCTGCAACTAGTAAAAACTAGGGGTTCAGTCAGATGAAAGAGAATTGGGACAAAAGCAGAAGGCCTTTGTTTACCAATATCGCCGAGCTGCAGTCAATCACGTGCAAAGCGAGGACGACGAGACATAATAATAGAGGCAAGACCCTCTTTCTATCATTTCCAAGAATGGCCATGTTGGAACAGGTATCCAGCTGACTCTCTTGACCCTAAATAAAAGTTCTGCAAAAATTTCCAAAAATCCATTAGATTCAATTAGAGACGATTAGAGCACACAACTGAATCACTGATCGCCAACTCGAACATGCGCATGAGACAATACTCCATTTGAATCTATTTATTTATAAATTATTATTTATTTGAATTCCCTCCCCATCTGTTAGATATATCCAAGGATATCGCAAAATTTCCAGTTCAGAACTACAGAAAAAAGAAAAAAAATCCAACCACGCATGCTTCACGAACCCTGTTACAGTCACGCGGGAGGGAGAGAAAATCTGGCCCTCTGTGTCTTCTACTACTTGCTCAGAAATACAGCTCACCAAAGTTTTCTGATTGTTGACAAACAAACCCAGAATCATTAATTCCAAATTGAGCCACTCAAGAAATTCGAATCCGCAAATCCATCGGACGTGTAACTCCCCGGGATGAACTTAACGCAAAACACTACGATTGCTCAATTCTTCAGCTCTACTCAGCTGTGAACGTCATTCACCGACACAAGGGAGTAAAAGAATCACGAAATAAAAAAATTTGGCCCCAAAACAAAGTCGAGCTTCAATTACAAAAGTACAAAAATCACCCTCAAGATCCACGCGGATGCTCGTATCCAGCAATCAAGATCACGGTCCTCCAGAGGCCCTTACAACACTCAGTTTCCACAATAAACACCATCCGTATCGACAAAACTTGGATGGACAATCCTGATTCTCCGAGCTGCAACCGAAAGAAATCGAAAACCTTGATTACACCGCGCTGAGGGTGCAGAAATCCGCCTGAAAAAGGGAGACCCGAGGCAGGCCAGGCGGCCCAAACCTTGAAGCCTGCATCGATCGATGACTCGCGGTCTTCACTCTCGACTCAAGCGCACACCGAGCAGGAAGCGAGTGCTGACTGGACTTGTCGATCGTCCTCTAGTTTAGAAGCTCGGCTACAGATAGCGGGCTTTTCTCAGTACTTCTACTGCGACTGGAGGTATCCAGTCCATCCTTTCCTGTCAACCGAAGCCTTCTGTTTTTGTCGTATATCTGTCCAGCGGTCTGGTTTATCGGGTGACCCGACGTCTTGTCCATAGTCACGGACTGGAATCTGGATGGCAAACCTGGATCTGCTTGTATCAAATACCATCATCTCGGATGCACCTAGTTTTCCATCTTCAAGGAATGGGCATCAGTCTCACCTTTCCGCGTGACACCAGCACCAAGAAGATTACAATCATATTAGGGGCTAGTTATTATTCACTTTTGGTTAATTATATTCACCCTGCAATACTCTTATATCTAGAGGTATGTGATTAGTCAGATGTTGGACGCACTAACATATAGTTTTGGGATGCTACTTCTAAAACAGTGATTTCTTCTTGAGTATATACGTCTTGACCTCAATTGTGTCAAATCTGACATGAAAAGACTGAATGAATAGCAGCACTGGGAAATGTTGGCCCATCCAGGCAAAATTCAAGAAATGATTAGGTTGAGTGGTCATGTCCAAGTATGGACGCGGGGAGTAATTGCAGTGATAAAATTAGTAGAGGGAGTTACCAACAGAACTTGAGTCAATTGTGCTAGTCAGAAAAATGTGAAGAGGGAGAAGTAACTGGCGCGCGGAACTCAAGACCCATCCGACAAACATCTATTGAAGATCAAGTAGATGTCGATAGATGCTTCCAGAGATTCATAATAGAATTGTTTCCTTGCGTACTCGTCCCTTAATTCACTACTCCAGTTGTCCCCTCCCTACATCTGACCAATTATAGATATATATAGAAAAGAGTATAGTATAGTAGAGTGAGGAATAATTAACCAAAAGTGAAAGATAACTAGAAGGTATCATGTTATGTTGTTGTTCAAACTCAGTTTATACAAAAACAAACAGTTGTTGTTTAAACAGTTGATGATTTTGAGTACTAACGGTTTCATCTAACGCACTTGAAAACCCTTCTGCAAGTTGTAAACCCCAACGAGTTCATGGCACTAATCAAGAATCTCTTGTAATCGAAGAAACTCATTCAGAAGAAGCTTATGCAACCCTCCGTGTAACCATTTTGATATAAAATCATCCTCGGCATATAGACAATAATTCTGCATCAATTCTTGGAGTGAAATTTTGCAGGATGCGAAGTCATAGCCACGCAACCAATCTTGTTGTTCAAGTTTCTCACGTTCATTGTCATGCTGCACACTGCAGCTCTCTACACATCACCATACGGCTCGCATCCTTCAAGCTTTAAGAGTTCTCGGTCAGCTACTCATACTCCACTCAAACTTTTCACTGCCAATCCGATTGTCACTGCGACGATGACGGCCGGATCGGCGGTGAAAGTTGGTAACGACGATGATAGAATATTCTATTATTGAATATTTTGTCTACAAGCATCTTTGTTGGAATATAGACAAACTGGGTATCATTAGAAAGCTCTCGACGTGAGTAGTGGATCTAGATCAATTTCAGGAGCTGAAAGATGACCCACACAGAGAAAATTGTTCCAAAAGTTACTATTGTATAGAGATTTTTGATGTATTAAGTTACCGTGGAATAGGTCGGAGTATCTGGTACTACAATATTCATGGTTTGAAAAAGATGTGTTATAGTCTATAGAATCTTGTAGCCTGTGAGATTTGTTGTCAGTACAAAGGTTTCTTTGTCTTCAATGAGACTTGGCTCATTGAAAGAGGGGATGATTGTTGAGTTATCACTATGTGTTATTACTCTATCATGTTATGTGTACGGCTTAGTTTTAGTTGACTCTTGTTTAAAGAGGAACCTTGTGTTAGATAGTCGTCTAGAACTTTCCATGGAGTAAAAATGTAGGTTAGAAAGGTTACTCAAATTACTTAACATGAGTTAAGGGGAAGACAATTGGGTTACCTCTATATGTTATTACTCTATACTGTTATGGTTACGGTTTAGCTCTAATTAACTCTTTTTTAAAGAGGGACCTTGTGTTAGGTATACGTCTAGAACTTTCCGCGGAATAAAAATGTAGGTTAGAAAGTTTACTCAGATTAGTTAACATGAGTTAAGAGGGAGATTGTTGGGTTACATCTATATGTTATTACTCTATACTATTATAGACAATGTTTGACCTAGAAGGCATACACTGTGAGAGATACACGCACGAGAGAAGTCAACACCAAGAGATAACGTGGTTCATCTACATTGAGGCTACTTCCACAGAAACAATGAAAACTTTACTAAGACTCTAAACCATAGCTATACCGAATCTCCGTTCTCCAAGCTCTCACCGAAGCACTCCTACACAACGAGTGTTCTCTCTCTATGACTTTGGTCTTGGGGCCTGTAACCTTTGCTATCTATATGAATTACCTCTCGGGAAAGCCTAGAAGGTGGATCTAACATAGATCTCCCTCAGTAAACTAGAGTTAACTAGAATTAAGCCATAGCCTAAAAAGATAAGGTAAAGTCACATACAAAGAGTAACTAACTGATGTCAAGATACTCTACTTTTGTTCTACATCCACAATCTATAATGTCAAACAATGTCTCGCAAAACTTTCCAAAGGAATTACTTTGATAAAAACATCGGCTAGATTGAGTTTACCGTCAATCTAGACTAGCTCAATCTTCTTATCAAAAACCGCCTCTCTGATAAAGTGATACCAAATGTCAATGTGCTTCACTCAACTGTTCATCACCTGATTTATAGCAAGGTGTAAGGCACTTTGATTGTTTCAATGGAGATTCACAATATCATGTGACAATCCCATTTCCGCAACAAGTCTATCCAACCAAATAGCTTTCTTCGCTACTTCTGCTGCTGCCACATACTCGGCCTCAGTAGTCAACTGAGCTACGCACTTTTGCAAAGTAGACCTCCAACTTATGCACCCACCTCCAAGTGTAAATCCATAACCCGTTGTAGATTTTCTTCCATCCAGATCTTGTTCATAGTCAGCGTCCACATAGCCAATTAAGGATTTGACATTGAGTGACTTCGCATCAAACAATAGATCATAATCCATCGTACCCTTTAGATACCTAAGAATCCATTTCACTGCCTTCCAATGCATCTTCATTGGATTTGACATGTACCGGCTAAGCTTGCTCATCGCCATGGCAATATAAGGTCTTGTGGATATCATCAAGTACATGAGACTTCCCACTGTCTTATCGTAAGGGATCTTGGACATCAACACTCTTGTTGTCACATTTGTTGGACATTGAGCTGATGACAACTTGAAATGTGGAGCCAATGGAGTACTTACTGGCTTACAATTCTCCATGTTGAATCGTGCAAGTACCTTTTGAGCATACTTGCCTTGAGTAAATCATAGCTTGCCATTTTTGTATCGATGAATCTCCATCCCTAAGATCCTGTTGGCCGATCCTAGATCTTTCATTCTAAACTCCGAACTCAAAAGAGATTTGAGATTATCCACTTCAGTTCTATCTCTAGCCGTGATAAGCATGTCATCTACATAGAGTACTAGAATAACAAAACCAAAATCTCATTACTCACACATTTCATGTACACACATGGATCAAACAAACTCCATTTGAAACCTTGTGCACACATAAAATCATCAAACCGCTTTTTCCATTGTCTTGGAGCTTGATTTAGTCCATACAAAGACTTCAATAATTAGGAGACCAATTCTTCTTGGCTCTTCTTCACAAAACCTATCGGTTGTTTCATGAAGATAATCTCATCCAAGCTACTTGGAAGTAGGATCCAACTTGTTCCTATGCACCTTAGGTATAAGAGGGTAAGCCGTGCAACCAAATATCCTTAATCGACTGTAATCAGCAACCTGCTTGTGCCTCAATTCAAACGGAGTTGAAAAATCAATTGCACTTGAAGGAGAAAGTTTTACCAAGTAAATTGCGGTATTCACAGCTTCAGCCCAAAATATATGATAAACCCGATTGGCTCATCATACTTCGCACCTTTTTCAACACTGTTCGATTGAACCGCTCACAAACAGCATTCTGCTGCGGAGTATAAACCGTGGTGAGATGGCAAGTAATCCCCTCTGCTTTGCAATATTCTCCAAATTCCTTAGAGATATACTCCCCGCCATTGTCCGAACGCAAATATCTCACCTGCACATTCAAAGCTTTCACCCTGTGCACCGTCCAAGTCTCAACTTGGACTCTTCAACTTTTGAAAGTTGCAAAGACTTCAGACTTTTTCTTGAGAAAATAAACCCAAACAAATCTTGAGTAATCATCAATGAAAACTACATAGTACCACTTGTCAAGATAGTGAGGCTACTTGAGAGGGATCCCACATGTCACTATGTACATACTCAAGAATCACCTAAGAGCTATGAATTTCAACACCAGAAGTCTTTGTATGGTGCTTTCCCATAACACAATGCTCACAGAGATCTAAATCAATCTTATTCAAACCGGATAACATATCCTTTTCGCGAAGCGAGGTCAAATACCTGTCACTCATATGACCCATCCTATAATGCCAAATCTGAGACATCTCAGGTCGAGATCTAGTGACATTGACTTCTCCGCACACAGTATTACCCTCTAACACATATAGATTCCTATGCTTGTTCCCTTTCAAGACAGCTTTATCTCTAGCTTTGACTTGAAGTACACCATCAACTACCGACCACCGATGACCATTAGTGTCCAATGCACCAAGAGAACTCAAGTTCTTCTTCATCTCAGGAATATATCTCACATTCGTCAATGTGCAAATTACTCCATCAAACATCATAATCCTCACAGATCCAATACCGACAACTTGACAGGGGTGATCATCCCTCATCAAAACTATACCGTTCAATGCAAGGTAATGGTAAATGGTAATAGATCAAGCCCGTGGGACCCAAAGGGTCAAAAGGCTGAAAAACACAATACAAGCGACAGCCACAAACAAGGGAAA